TAATAAGATACTTGGAGGATATAATCCTTTAGCATGGAATAATAGTATTATCAAAATAGGCCAATGGGCGAAAACAAAAGATAGTTTAATTTTCTCACTGAAAAATGACACTATTCAAAATTCAATTTCTGTAGAGCGAAAGAGCAATTTGGAACATATCCAAAAATCAAAAAATGCATGATTTTGATTTTGGAGATTTTTATTTACATAGTAATTAATCTGATTTTACTTTAGATAATAGAAATTACTGTTACATTGAAGGTACTTCTTATGAAAGACCTATAAGAACATCATCGTATCGCTTTTCTATTGTTAATTACGAAGTATTTACAATAATTAAAAAAAATGCATATACAGTACATAAAAATGTGGTTTAATATGAAATAAATTAATAGCGTATACATTTTATTTTTTTTATATTTAATAATGCGGTTATATTTTTATTTTATAAAACTTTAACATGGGACATATTATTTAACACTATTAATATTATTAATAATCGATGAATAAATTATTTCAGCAGTTTTTTATTTATTTTATCTTATTGCTCTAGTAGAATCAGTTATTTATTAAATACCAAATATATTTGCTAAATACTGATATCTTTAAAAAAATATTCATTAGTTTACGATACAAATTTGTATATAGATAAGAAATAAATATATATAATACATTATTTATAAATTATTGTTGAACATTCTCTAATCAGTTTCATAACTTCAATTTTATGATTGATTTTCTTTCATATATAAATCATCGTTAAACTTTTGCACGAATAAAAATAGAATTTTTGAATTTCAATTTTTTAAATTTTTAAAGAAAAAATAAAACTGTTATTAGTATTAGTATAGAAGGCTTATTATAAAAATCAGAATTCCAACCAATGGGATTATAATCACGAATAATCTTTCATTGAATACGTAATCCTAATTCTTGGATTCTTTGAGTTGCAAATCATCCTTTGAATAATAGATACTAAAGCTGATTCTGGAAGAGTATTAAAATAATTTGATTCGAAACTCAAATAAGGATGTTTTGCGATTATATTCTTGTAATGATTTGAAGTACTTCTAAATTATTAGTTTAGAAACTGAATTATAAATTTTTGAAAAAATTTAAATTTAACCAAGATTGTTTTTATTAAGAAAAATTTTGAAACCTTGTCATCAATCCTCTAAGTTGATATTCATTTGCGGTCATAAAAAGATCAAAAATTAAGAAAACTATCCCAATAAGACATTTCATCAAAGACAAAAATTTTATTTTAATAAATTTAATAAATAATTTAATCACATTAGATTAGAATTTACTTTATAATCATATCAAAAATTTTAGCAAATATTCGATAGTTAATTTTTAAAATTCATCGTAGAGATCGGTAACACAAACTTGTTGAATGAACTTTTTATTTGTCATACAGAAAATCACACAAATATTTGTTTCATTAAATCCGATTTGTTAACGCCATTTCTTCTTTTTCCGACTCAATAATTTATTAAGGAAAAAAAAAAAAGAAAAATGTCATTAAAATTTTTTGACAAGTTATCTCAAAACTTTATTGAATTACTAAATGATAGAGATGATTACAACGTAATCATTGAAATAGAAAATAAGGAAAAATCATTTACGGCACATTCAAACATATTAAAATATCGATCATCATATTTTCGTAAAGAGTTAGAAAATATTCAACCAAATGAAAATCATGTTAAGACCATTATTAAATCAAGTGTATCTGCACAAATTTTTGATGTTATTCTCAAGTAATTATTACTACTTGGTTTTTATTATTTATAAATATATTTTGTCTATTAATTATTTATTTTTCTAGATATATTTATGGAGGAATTGTTAATTTGGAGAACGTAGAAACCAGATTCATTTTTGATTTGATGTTAGCTACTAATGAATTTGAACTTGATGAATTAACCAACAAATTGGAAACTCTTCTCATCGATACTAAAGCTTCTTGGTTAAAAACATATTTCTCTCTTATTTATCGTACTATTTTTGACAAAAATAATTTTAAAAAATTAGAAAATTATTGTAACGATATAATTAAAAAGCATCCAAGTCTTATTTTTGAAAATTCAGATTCCACTTCTCTTCCTGAGTCCGCATTAGTATCTCTTCTTAAGCGAAATGATTTGCAAATGGAAGAAATTAAAATTTGGGATTATGTCATCAAATGGGGAATTGCTCAAAATCCTACTCTCCCTACAAATCTCGAAGAATGGTCCAAGGAAGATTTTCTTATGTTAAAGACAACTTTGCGACAATGTTTACCACATATTCGTTATTTTCAACTTTCGAACATTGAACTTTATGATAAAATCAAGCCTTTTAAAAAAATTCTTGACAAACAACTTTGGGAAGATATCAATCAGCATTCATTTGTTCCTGACCGACTAGTAAAATCGAATATTTTACCACCAAGATCAATTTTGGTTACAGAATTACCTCCTCGTACAAATGAACCAAAAGAACCTTTTTCAACAATAATTTCCGAAGAACATGCTGCAGAAATTTCCAGTTGGATTGATCGTAAAATAATTAGTCATTTTAATTATTCAACAACAGATATTCCATATAAATTTGAATTAATTTTAAGTGGTACTAGAGATGGATTTGCTCCACAAACATTTTCGAGAATTTGCCATGGTCATACTAAAACAGTTGTGGTAGTAAAAATTAAAGGGACTGATGAGATACTTGGAGGATACAATCCTTTAACATGGGATAATCGTAATATCAAAGTAAGCCGATTTGCGAAAACAAAGGATAGTTTCATTTTCTCACTGAAAAATGGCACTGTTCAAAATTCAATTCTCAGCAGAGTAAAAATAACCGAAAAAGCAATTTGGAACAGACCCAGAAGGTTTCAGAAAGTGCGTGGTTTAGATTTTGGAGATTTTTACTTACATAGTAATCAATATAATTTCACTTTAGATAATGAAAATTACTGTGATATTGTAGGTACTTATTATGAAAAACCTATAAGAACATCATCTGATCACTTTTCTATTATTAATTATGAAGTATTTACAGTAATTAAGAAAAATGCATAAAAATGTGGTTTTATATAAATAAATTAATAATGTATTCATTTTTATTTATTTATTTTTATATTTGATAAACCAATTATATATATTTAATAATTAAACTTTTATCTATTAAATATTCATATTAAATTGTTTTATAAGAATTTTTACGATATTAATATTAAATATCAAGAATCGACCACCGAAATTATCTCAATAGTTTTTTTATTTATTTAGTTTTAATTCTCTACTAGTAGGATCAGATATTTTCTTTTCTACTTAAATACCAAATTTATTTTCTAAAAACTAAGCCATTTGTTGCGAAAGGTATTCACCAGTCAAATAATGAATATATTTGCCGTAGATCCAAAAGTTAGTTCTCTGTAATTCATGGTGCAAATATAATGATATTATAATAAAAGTAAAATTACTTTCAAAAATATTATCATTTATCATCAGCTTACGATGTAAATTTGATTCCAGGTAAGATATAAAATATTAATACTTTTATTAAAATAGATTAAATACATCGAAAAACTATTGTTGAATACTCAAATATTTTTTTCTCTTGTTAATTTGAATATGCTTAACAATTATCTATTGAAAATTCACTAGTTTGTTTTCTAATTTGTTTTTCATAGCCATCGATATAATAAATTCCAAACGATTGATTTTCAGACCTATATAAATAAATCATCGCCAAAACATGCAGTATTATGATTAAAAATAGCTTTACTTGAAACCTTTACACAACACGACTAAGAATAAAATTTTAGACATTTACATTTTTTTTGAAGAAAAAATAAAACTTTCCTAATATTGAAAATTTGAATTATTTAAATTAGGATCCCAACCAATAGGATCGTAAACACTAAACTTTTATAATCACAAAATTTTTTTTTTATAATCACAAATTACAAAATCTTAAAATATTTTACTTTCAAATCCATCTCTATATCCTTATCAATACACGATGCAGTTCAGTTGCTGGTTCGTTTGTAATAATCGTAATTTGAAAAGCATATCCACGATTTGGAAGCTGGGTGGCGAATATTTTACGAGGTGGTAAAATTGTTGAGATAATAGGTTTTCATCAAGAATTTGATGATATGGAAATACTTTTTCAATAAAACTTTCACTAGAAATTTGAAAATATTGAACGTGGGGTAAACATTATTGCATCCTTCTCAATCCAATCGTCAAGGTGAATTTTATTTTGTGTAATTCTCCCATTGAATATGTAATCCCAAATTTTGGATTCTTCGAATTGCAATTCATCTCTTTAAATATACTTCGGAAAGAGTATTAAAAAATCAAATTATAATATTTTGCGATTGTATCGTCGCAATAATTTTGAAGTGCTTCTAAACTTGAATTATAAAATTTGAAAAATTTATTTTATCCAAGAAGGAAGATTTTAATAAGAAAAGTCTGAAGTCTTACGATTGATTTTTCATCAAAAGATCAAAAATAGTAGATGCACAGTACAGATAGTTGATTTTTTAAAATTCATCGTAGAGATAAAAGACATCGATAACACAAAACCGCCGAATGAACTTTATAAAAGTTTAAAAAATCATTTGATAAATTTTCATAAAATTTAATGTCATAATTTCAAGAGGAAACAAGAGGAATAAGAAAATTAAAATGAAAAAAAAGAAATGAATCCGTGCAGTGTCAAGTGACCTACCTAAATGACCATATCATATGATGATTTTATAATTAAGTAATTATGCGTCGCTTATTTAAATAATTCTGCGTTGTTAATAGGGAAATTGATTTATTTTAAATTTACATAGTATATAAATTTATTATCTATATTTTTATCACAATTAATTATATAAGTAATAAGAAGTGAGTCTTTGTAAAGGATTATCATGTAAATTTATATCATGAGGTTGATTAGAATATGATATTTAATATAAAATATATTAAGCGTTTATTTATTACTATTACCATCTAATTAACACTATTAAAATTAATAAAATTAAGAATAAAAGTAACTGAGAATTTTTTTTTTAAAAAATTAATAAAGTTAAGAATACAAATAACGAGAATTATTTTTAAAAAACTAACAAAATTAAGAATAAAAGTAAAATGATAAATTTTTCATTCTCCGTATTTTCATCATCATTCGTATTTCATACTTCTTTCTTCTCACACCTCCTCCGATATCTCACCTTTCTGCTTCTCATTCCTCTCTTCTTCCTTCTTATTATTTTCCTCGTAATTAATAATATTTAAAGGATTATATGTTCTTTGCTCATAAGAATGAATGGCTGCATAAATATTTAATGCTTTACTAGTAGAATCAGGTAATTTTTTTCCACTTATTAAATACCAAATATATTTACAAACAAATTTAATTTCATTATATATATCTTTAGGATTAAATGCATCCAGAATTCCTTTACTTATTGGTGATCGTTTATGTTTTCTTTTGATACCCTCTATATCCCGATATTTACGATAATCAAATGCGTATATATGTAAAAAAGCAAATATTACCATTTCCAAACAAATCAATAATGCATTTAAACCTCGTGATATATTCGCACTTGTCCTAATTATTATAATTAAAAATTTTTAATAATTTATCATTTCATGTAATTAAAGAATGGAATTTTATTAATTAATAGAAGTGGATGAAATAAATTACCAATATTTGGTTTCTTTGATCACTCCTGCATTTATAATAATAATATCAGTAAAAATAGTCATATATACAAATATTCGAGTAAAAAAAAAATTTATTTATTAATAATAATTAATAAATATTTTAATAATTTTGAATAAAAACTTACCAACTTCTGCTAATATAGAAAGTAATACATCTTGCCAGAATGAAAAGAAAATGACCTATTTTAATATAAATATTTTTTATATTTATTTATATCGTGTATCTAAATTGCATACGTGCATAGATATTTATTGAGAGAAAGAGAAAACGTTATAAATTTACCAATTTTACACAAAGAAGTTTATAAAATGGTTTTTCTTCTTTAATTGCACCTTTTATAGTTACATAGAATGTAATCTAAAAAAAGAAAAAAAATTAATAAATAATAATAAAAATTTAAATAAATTAAATAAAATTAAAATAAAATTAAAATAAAATTAATGACTCAACTCATAAAAAATTTAAAATGAAAAAATAAGTATGATAATATCAAAATAATAAACTCACCAAAGCATACATAGCAACACTTACACTAACAAAATAAATTAAACTACAATAAACTTTAGCGAATTTAAAATCCAAACTTTCTTCACAATAAACTCCTAACGCATTAGTGAGTAAAGCTATAAACGTAACTAGGGGATTTATTACCACATATTGAAGTATTCCCCATTTAACAAATAATAAATGCGAATTACTAGTAGGATTATAAGTAACACAATTACATGGAAATGGATATTTCATATTAACAAATTGAATATTATGATCATTATCATCATCGTTATTATGATTTTTTTTATTCATAAAAAAAATTTTCTTCCGTTTTTCTTCTGTCATATGATCTCCGACAAATTGAGTTAATAAAGCAAAAAATGCAAATATAACAAATGCTTCATAACAATCTCGAATTGTTTCAAAGTATATACTGTAATGGAAGAAACGATAGGATAACCATGAGATTATAGAATAAATTGGAATAAGAAGGATAATTCGAATTATATATCGTTGTTGATTTGCCTAATTACAATATTTATTTCGGATTAGATTATAAAAATTATATGAAGAACCTTTGACTTAGAAATAAATAAAAAAAAATTCGGTAAATACCTTATGATAATTCTGACAATGTTTAATTATTAAATAAAATGATATAAGAGTGGCAAATAATGCACATAAACCTGATACGGTCCATCCGATTCTATGAGCTAAAAGGTATGTTGTAAGTAAGTGAGGATGAAAAATTAAATTATTGAGAAAAAAATTATGTCGAGAAAAATTACCATCAAAATGAGGACCGTTATCCCAAAAACTAGTAGGATCAGTTTCATTTTTATTATCTGCGGGACAATTTGACATTTTGTTTTTTTTTTTCGATTCGATCGGTCAATCGATTTTTTTTTTTCTAAAAAAAAAACTTCTTTTATACATATAATGCGTACGTATAATAAACACGTAAAATGTATACGTATATACATGTATAATGCGATTGTATAAACATGTATAATATGGTGAATAAACATGTAAATTTTTGAGTTTGGTTGTACAGTCAGATCAATCAAGTATTTTTTTTTTTTTTGCACTGCCTTTTATCAAATAAACAAATTAACCAACCAATTCGAGTGATAGATCTAAAAGTCATTCAAATTCTTGTTTAAATTCAGCGAAAAAAATCATTATTATTTATAATCAATTTGCTTCCAAATGCGGTAAGAAATAAAACGTATAATACTTTTATTTAAAATAAATTAATTGAAAATACGTTGAAAAACCAGTTTATTCGTTTTATCCTTTAATTTGAAAAACTTCATAATCATGAAGCCATCAATATATTGATACATAAATCATTGCCAAAGAATGGACCACAAAAATAGCACTATAAATAATATTTATAGAAAAAATAAAACTGTCAGAACTTTCAAAATTAGAATTCCAACAATAGGACATCATCTCCTCCTACCGAATAATCATGTGCTAATCTCCTCTCATTGCCAACAATAAATCAATCTTATTTGCTTTGAGTGAGGAGGAGATGAAGAATTTTAGTACTACTAATCATAATGATACTTCTTTTTCAACTACTATAACTCCTCCTCCTCCTTCGGCGACAACAACACAACCATCTATTCATACTCAACACTTATGACAACAACCTCAAAATTATTCATCATCCATCATATCAAATCAATATCATTAGGCCATACACATTGCAACAGTAATAATAGCAATCTCTTCGATTCAATTGAAACAGTAACAACATCAATCTCTTCGATTCAATTGCAACAAAATAATAATACTAATACAACTACTACTACTACAAAAAAAAAACAACGTAGAAGAAAAATAAAAGAACGTGAGATTTTCACCATATATCAAAAGTTAACGGTGGTGATGTGTCAGAAAATAAAATGAGGAGAAAGGCATAAATGAGATCATTAAAAAAAATTGATCAGTGTTGTTTATTATTATTTCTTAAATATTTATATATTATTATTATTACTATTAATGTATTTTTTATTTTTTTTTATTGAAATTCGCGAAAAAAAACTTATGCTGGCATATGTTATTACTATTAAGATTATTATAAATATGATTTATTATTGTTATATTCTTTTCTTGTCATTTTCTTTCCTATTTCAAAATTCTCATTAAAAAAATAAATTAAAAAAATATTCTGTTAATCTTATAATTAAACAAAAATTATTACAGAAATAATGCCGGTATACAAAGTGTAGTGAAAAAGAAAAAAAAATAATTTCTCGAATTATCGGAGAGAAATAATATCAAACGAAAAAAAAACCAACTTTATTATTAGTTGCAAACATTTTTGCATAAAAAAAATTTATTTTTAGAAATTTATCGAAAGATTTTATTAGACTTTTAAATTAACTTAATCAAGACTTCAAACTGTTGAATCATTGAAGATTCTAACATTTTTCTAAGCTTGATCTTGGATTCTTGCCTGGACACAAATGTTTTTTTCGTTATTATAATGGGACCAGCACCTGTAAGAACGGTACTATTGTAGCAACGGCATCATATCATTCTTAATACTGAGTAAAAATTCATTCTTTCCATCACATTCACATTATTTTCTGTGCATAATCTTCCCATATCAGAAAATATTCGTAGTAACAGTTTTCATCATCACTTTCATCAGCACCTTCATCATCTACTTCATCACCTTATTGTTATCAACGTTATCAATATTATTATATTCGTATTGAATTTCTATTTTTGAGATCTATAGATTTTTTATTTCCATCATCGCGTTCATCACCATCACCATAATCACCGATATTACTATTATTATTTTGGGAAAGAATATTTTCTCTGATAGTTTTAATAGGTTAATCTTTTAAGCATATTTACATTCGTCCATACAGATATCCATCTTCATCATCTTTACCTTCATCTTCTGAATCTCCATGATCACGATCATCTTATAGAAAATTTTGTTTCTTTCCAATAAACATGTTTATTAATAAAAGACCAAAATTCGAGTTAAAAGAATATAATTTTATGACTCATTTATAATAAAGAACAGAGCACCAATATTTACCTTGATTATATATTACAAAAATTTGCTGATTTTCCTTGTTGAAAAGAAATGTAATCTATAAATGTAAAATTTTGTGAATCGTTTATTTTATTAGTTACTGCCAAGTTAGAATTAAATAAATATATGGTTTTGACAGGGTTGGGTTTATTCATCAGTAATAAATCAAATTATTTAATGATCTGATCTAAGTTTAGGAAAACTGTCAAATTCGTTCGGAATTTTCTTTTTGAAAATCCGCCGAATATCATCTTTCAGATTATTGAAATTCTGAAATATGTTTTCTAGTTTATCAAAATCATAGTACCATTTTCCTTTGAATAAAATAAATATGTTATTGTCATTTGAATTGATAACAATAAATAAAATACATTATTTATAATTCATTCACAGTGTATAAAATTTTAATTCTAAATTCTAAATTTATACCCAATTTTTTATCATTTATTAATACATTTATTCAATGATTATACGTCAAAATATAATTTACACGAAATTGGATGTGATACAAAGAATTTCTCTCGCGTGGAATGTAAAGTAATTATGTCAATTTTTTTTTTAAATGAAATTTTTTAACAACAATGACATTAATAATAATTATTTTATTTATCATCGTCATCGAAAAATATTATTATTATATATTTATTGTCTTTAAATTTTCAATGAAATATGTTAATATTTGTTTGCTTTTCAAGTTAAAATAAGCCTTAAACATTGATAAATATTTAATTCAAATACTAAAATAAGAATATATCTTAATATGTTAGTACAAGAAAATGTAAATTTAAATGAAGAATCAGAAATTGATGGAAGAAAAAATAAATGATAATGAATCTGTAATATTAACTGATGATAATGAATTCTGAAAGACTTAGAAAAATTCTTACTTTACAATTTAATGAGAATTTATGTATATAGTTAAAAATAAAGCAAGTGGAGAAAATAACGAATTTTCGATATTAAACTAGAAGAAATCGAAATAATAGTGAACCAAAATGGAAACTAGAATTAATAATTTATATGATCCTCTCAAATCTTAATCTTTGTTGTAATAAATTCAAAATTCAACAAATAAATTTATCATCTATATTATTTAAAAAGCTTGATACCTATAAGTATAACAATTCTTATGATCTTATAAAAATAATATTATTACATATGTATTACATGACTTAGCTAATTTCACTAGAAGAAATTGCAAGATAAAAATAAATGAAATGACTAAAATAACTTTCTCATGTTTCTTCAGGAATAAATATAAATAAATAAAAACATCAAATTATATACTGCATAAGTATATTTATTTTCTTGATCAAATAATATTTGAGAAATTAATCACGATTTTTTGTGGTCAAATATGTACAAAGTTTAATTCACACAAAATTTTATTATTAAATTGTAATAACATTAACGGTTTTCTTGAAATTTTTAATTTGAAAACTTCATAATCTTCTATAAAAAATGAACCGCATGTTCTAATCGGTTTTCATAGCCTTACACATAATTAAAGCAAAATGATCGACTTCCATTCACTGTCAAAATTTGGACCAAAACCATAATTAATGTAAATAGCTTACTTGGAACGTTTACGTGACTGAGAATAGAATTATTGATGTTTTCATTTTTTTGAAAAAAAGAAAACTGTCAATATTGCCAAGCAAGATTAGAATTCCACAATAGGATCTTAACCACCAATAATCTCATCTGTACAATTAACTTTCGCAGCAACAACATTATTTATTTTCTGATCACATTAATTCCAAAATACATCTGCTTCAAACCCATCTCTACTTCCACAAAGTATAAGGTTGAATTCATATGGATATTATTAACATCATACGCCACTTACTTCTTATCAACCCAAGATAAAATTTCAACTGCTTGTTCAATATTTAAAATAGTTGATGATGTAGTTTGAAAAGTATATCCACGACTTGGAAACTGGGTATTGATTGTTTTACGGGTGGTAATATTTTTAAGTGATAATTTTGTTTGGAGCCATGGAATATTTTAGAATATCGTCCTATAATTATTTATCAAGAATTGGTTGATATGGGAATAATTTTTCTACAACACGAAATTTGAAAATATTGAATATGAGGTGAACACTGTTGTAAGTATTTTTTAGAGTTTGAAAATCGATATCAAGTTTCGACGGTAAAGTTTATTCTGAGAAATTCCCCATTGAATTACCTAATTCCAAATTTAGGATTCTTCGAATTGTAAATCATCTCTTTGAATAATAGATAGATATCAAGGCTTGCTTCTGGAAGAGTGTTAGAATCATTTGATTCAAAAATCAAGGTAGGATGTTTTGCGATTAGATCGTTGTAATAATTTTGAAGTGCTTTTGAATTATTAGTTTTATAAATTTTTTGAAAAATTTAATTTTAACCAAGAAAATTGGTATTCAATAAGGAAACTTTGAAGTTATTTCATCAATTCTTCAAGTTGTAATTCATTTGCAGTCATTAAAAGATTAAAAATTACAGATGTTTCAACTTTATCGAGATTGACCGTAGCTTCTATTAAATATTTATTGAATTATATTAATATTTATTATATTGAATATTTTAATAAATTATTAATATTTAATAAATTTATTAAATTAGCACTTGCTTTATAATCATATTAGAAATTTAGCAGATATTTGTGGTTTATGAATAATTCTAATATTTATCATCGTTGATTTTTAAATTCTTTGTTAAGATAAGGACATTGATTGAACTTCAAATGTGTACTTTATTGAAGATTCTACAACTTTGACCATTTTCTAAAAGTTTAATAAAATCACTAGATAACTTTTCAAAAAAATTTTACTGCAACGCTGGAAAAAGAAACGGAGGGAAAAATGAAAGTTATAAATGTTTTACTTTTTTCAATAAAAAAGTGTAGCGTATTTGTCGTAGACAATCGCTCAAATATTAGATATTTGTTCTAATATACATTTAAAAGCGACAAAAGATGTCCACATTTAAGATATTTTTACTTATATAGTAAAAAATTGAATTGCTGTAAAAAGTTGATTATTACGGAAAATTAGGTTACTTTTCATTTGTTAATTATGAAGTAATTAAAAAAAATCTTTATAAATTTGATTTCTAGAAAAATAAATTAATAATGCATGCATTATTATTTATTTTTATTTATTTATTTATATATAAAAAATTAAACTTTAATATTTAGGCATATTATTTAATGCGATTGATATTATTATTGAATATCAATAGTCGAGTGATACGGATAGATTGAAATTATCTCAACGGATTTTTTTTAATAGAATCATGTATTTATTAAATACCAAATACTCTATATTACGAAAGCTATTCAACGGCCAAATAATGTATGTAAATTCAAAAGTAAGTTCCTATTACGATATACAGTAAATGACAATAAAAGTAAAATAGCTTTCGAAAAAAAAATATTATTGTTTATCATCAGCTTAAGACACAAATTTGATTCTAGATTAGATGAAAAAATATAATTTTATTTAAAATATATTAAATACATTGAAGATTTGTAGTTGAAATTTAAATATTTTTTCTCTTGCTAATTTGAAAAACTTCATAATCATCTATTGAAACTACACCAATTGATTCTCTAATTGGTTTTTCATATCCACCAGTACGATTAATTCTAAACAATTGATATCCAATCATGAATAAACCATTGCCAAAATTTGGACCATAATTGGGATTATTACAAATAGCCTTACTTGGGTCTTTTACGGGACTAAGAATATTATTTTTGATATTTTCATTTGTTAAAGAAAAAAGAAAACCGTCAGTAGTTTCAGAATATTGAAAACCTAAATTAGAATTCCAACCAATAGGATTGTAACCACCAATAATCTCATCTATTTCTTTAACCTTCGTAACAACAACAACATTTGTTTTTCGATCACATAAATCCCAAAATACTTTAGGTTCAAATCCATCTCTACTTCCGCGAAGTATAAGATTGAATTCATATGGATTATTGTTAACATCATATGCCACTTCTTTCTTATCAACCCAAGATAAAATTTCAGCTGCTTGTTCAATATTAATAATTGATGATGTAATTTTAAAAGTATATCCACGATTTGGAAGCTGGGTAGTGGATATTTTACGAGGTGGTAATATTTTTGAAGTGATAGCTTTGTTTGGAGCCATGGAATATTTTAAAATATCATCCCATAATTTTTTATCAAGAATTTGTTGATATGGGAATAATTTTTCTACAATATTTTCATTGGAAATATGAAAATATCGAATATGAGGTGAACATTGTTGTAAGGTATTTTTTAGAATTTGAAAATCATTATCAGTCCAATCATCAAGTCTTGAAGGTAAAGTTTTATTCTGAGAAATTCCCCATTGAATTAGGTAATCCCAAATTTTGGATTCTTCGAGTTGCAAATCATCTCTTTGAAGAATAGATACCAAACCTGCTTCTGGAAGGGTATTGAAATCATTTGATTCAAAAATCAAGTTAGGATGTTTTACGATTATATCGTTACAATAATTTGAAGTACTTTTAAATTATTAGTTTGGAAACTTGACTTATAAATTTTTGAAAATTTAATTTTAACCAAGAAGATTGGTTTTCAATAAGGAAATTTTGAAGTCTTGTCATCAATTCTTCAAGTTGAAATTGATTTGCTGTCAACAAAAGATCAAAGATAAAAGATGTTTCAACTTTTTCAAGATTGACTGTAGCTCCATAAATATATCTATTAAATATTTAATAAATTAATATTTATTAAATATTTTAATGACTTATTATTTAACCCATTCATACTTAATATATACTTACTTTATAATAATATCAAAAATTTTAGCAGATATTTGTGGTTTCTGAATAATTCTAACATTACCATCGTTACATTTAGTTGTTTTTTTAAATTCATCGTAGAGATAAGGACATCGGTAACACAAAACTGTTGAATGAATTTTAAAAGGTTGTTTTATTGGAGATTCACCAACTTCAAAAATAACATTATGCTCATCTCCATTTTCTAAAAGTTTAATAAAATCATTTGATAAATTTTCATAAAAGTTTAATGTCATATTTGAATGAAGAAACAGAGTGACAAGAAAGATTAAACGAAAAAAGGTAGGCTTTTTTTTTTTTTTTTTTTAATTTCAATGAAAACTTTGTGCATTTGTCATACAGACAATCTAATCATAAGTCCATTGTTTCCGTTTTGTTTGCATACTGACAATCACGTGAACAATCCAAATCATAAGTCTTCTCTTTTTTCGAGTCGCATAAATAAAAATGGCATTAAACTTTTTTGACAAATTATCACAAACTACTAAATGATAAAGATTATAATATAATCTTTGAAGTTGATAATATCATTTACAGCAGATTTGAATGTATTGAAATGTTGGTCTATTTATTTCCGTAAGGATTTAGAAATATTAATGAATTGGAATTTGAGGAATTAACCAACAAATTAGAAAATCTTCTCATTTATATTAAATATTCTTAGCTAAGAATATACTTTTCTCATAATTGTTGTACTATTTTTAACGAAAACAACTTTAAAAAATTAGAAAATTTTTGTAATGTTGGTGTTATTGCAAAGAATCCAAGTCTTATTTTGAAACACGGATTTCGCTTCTCTTCCTTAACCTACTCTAGCGTCCCTTCTCAAGCGAGATTATTTTATCAAATGGGGAAACGCTCTCCCTATTAACCTCGAAGAATGGTCATATTTCAAATACTGAAATTATTGATAAAATTAGTACTTATTAAATTATTCTTGATAAACAACTTTGGAAAGATATTAAAAAGCGTATGGCAGTTCCTGAACGACCAGTAAAGTCAATTATTTTGTCAGCAAGACCACTTTGGTTATGGAATTATTTCCTCGTATATATATATTGGCACCTCCAAAAAAATCTTTACTTAGTTAATTTACTATTTATTTTTTAATTAACCGGTTAATTAACCAGTTAATTTATTATTTTTTATTTAGTTTAAAATTCGAGTTCTGTTTTTTTTATTCAACTTTAGTTTTTATTATAATAAATATAATTAATATTTTTCAAAAATTTATTGAAAATTCTTTATATATTTATTATATTTTTAACGGTTAACTAGATTTAAAGTAATTAATAAGATAAATTATGATTAATCGTTACTGCTTGCCTGCGATTAACTGGTTAAACGGTTGATGGTGCTAATCTCTACTCGTACGGATGATTAAATAGAACCTTCATCAACAATCATTTCTGAAGAATATACAAAAATTTTAGGTTGGATTGATCGTAAGACAACTACTTATTCAATTACAAATGTTCCATATGAATTTGAATTAATTTTAAGTGGAACTAGAGAAGGGTTCGCTCCACATACATTTTGGAATATTTGTCATTGTCATGTCATGCTAAAAATTTTTGGTAGTAAAAGTTAAAGGGACTAAAGATTATAATCCTTTAACATGGCGTGGGATAATAATTGAATGGGTAGTTAGATGGAAACAAAAGATAGTTTTATTTTCTCATTAAAAATAGTAATATTCAAAATTCTATTTTTAGCAGAGTAAACAATGCCCATTCTGCAATTTGTAATGTATGCAAAAGTTATAAAATTAGGGTTGGTATTTTGAGATTTTTTGTGAAAAATCTGATTTCACTTTAGATAATAGAAATTACTACAATAAGTTTCATTATGAAAAGCCTTTAAGAACATCATCAGATGCTTTCTATTGTTACTTATATTTATTTTTGTATTTATTATATCAAACATGTATTCATCTTGTATGTTATTTTTTTAATTCCAATGTATGAACAAATAAATTTATCAGTTTAACAAGTTCCTTCATGTCAAAATGGTTGTTTTTTGTTTGAAGCTATTTCAAAAAATGAATCTCAACATCTAAACAAGTCGACCATAATTTCAAGAATAAAGAATCATTTATAATTTTAAAAGATTTATATAATTTTAAAATCATTCGTATAGAATTTAACTTAGCTAATGTTTTCTGTTTCTATAAGTTACTTGACATTTTGATGAAATTGAAATTTTGTAAGTAAAAGAAAATAAAATATTTGTAGAAAATATATATGCAAGAAAAAAGGTAAGGTTGTGGAAAAAGGCTTTTTGAATTTTTTTTTTTTGATGCTGAAATTGTGATACTTTACTGCCAGAAATTTTTATCCATGTGTTCACACATTTTTTGCATTTTCCGAATTTATTATTTTCGGACATAAAAGCCTTGCATATAATTTAGTGCATACTTACTGTCAATATCGACCCTATTCACGCGGTGGACTAGTTAATTATCATCTATAACTTATTAAATATTTCTTAATTACAATATTGAATATTCCTTTTTTTAGCGAATAATAAGTATAGAAAATAGATTTACATATTTCAATTAAAGATGAAAGTTCATTATTATTTTTAAATTGAATTTATAACCAAACAGCAAAATTAAAAACCATTCTGATTTTCATTCTATATTTTAGACATAACAAAGAAACAACAAAAAAAAAAGCTAATAAAGAAATAACAAATAATCATGATGATTAATCACTATACAGGTTTTATCTCTCGTATCATATCATATTATACGGATTTACTATAACTGATAATAGACAAAATTAAAGTTATATGTAATGAAAAATTCTAATCATTTTTAATTTGCTAATATAAATTGTTGTAATTACTATACATGAAATACACCACAAATTTTCACAAATAAATCAAAACAATTAGATCGAATTCGAATGATCGACAATAAGTTTCGTGATTAACTGTTTTAGGCTAGAAAGTAGCACAGCTCTGAAAAAAAAGTATAAATAAAAATGGTTGATTATATAAAAAACAAAGTATGGTTGATTATATAATCTTGCTGAAAAAAAAAATAGATAAACAGAGGTATCTCTCATTAAAGATCATTCACCTAATATTTTACTTTTTAATTAGAAATTTTATAATTTACTCATATGTCAATTTCGCGAAACTAGCTTTTAATACATTTATTTTTTCTTGAGACAAAATATATACGCGAAATTTTTGATAGTTTTAGTTCACGTGAAGATAAAAAAAGAAAGCCACAAGCAACAAAAAGATTTGTAAATGAGAAAGCCCAACGTATTGTATATTGCTAGCAAACTTCGCGAAAATTAAATATTTACTGTAGCTGAAATTAATGTAAATAGTTGTACGTAATTATTTTTTAAGCAGTAAAAAAAAGAAAGGAACATGAATTTTATTTTACTGAACTAATGAACAAATAAATAATAATTAGGGTCTTGAGTAAGGTCGTTTGGTGAAATTTGGTTTATAAAAATTAACGATGGCATTTGCAGATTGAAATTCTTTAGACGCATTTTTCTAAATTTCGAATATTTAGGTGAGAAGAAAATAAACATTTTAGTTTCACACCATGAAAACGAACGGTTACTTTTTAACTTTTTATCGAAAATTAAAAAAATAGTCACAAGACCTATCTTTTTATTAGAATATTATTACATTACATTATTATTTTAATATTACGTGGTCAAGTATTTTAATATTCCAATTAAAAATCATGTAAAAAAAAAATAAAATAAAAAATCAATGTGAGAAAACAACGAAAATAAACAAATTTTAATTTTATACATGGATACTGTAAGTTTTATAAATAATGTAAATTAAAATAAAGTACTTTCCATTCTCAGATATTATACGGACAAATTTTCATTGGGAATTGGCTCAATTTATTGTCACTCATTTAAACTCATTCACTCACACTCACATTAGCTGTTCGCACTTGGAAATTTCCAATGGAGGATTAACAGAATAAAGAGAGAAAAAAAATTTAATTAAAATATAATTAGTAAATAATGAGACAGACGAAATCATCGGAGGATACAATCCTTTGGCTTGGGATAAAACTAATATTTATTAGTAGTTGGACAAATACTAATTATAACTTAAGATAATTACGGTGAGCATGAAAACTTATAAGAACCAAGACAGCTAGTTTCTCAATTGATGACTATGAAGTATTTGAGGTTATTAAGAAAACTAGTTGAAATTTCATTCCTTAGAAAATAATTGATGATATTACTATTACTTATCTGTATAGTAATATTTTTATTGAGTATAATAGTAAAATATTAAATATAATAATTAGATTTTATGGACATCACTCTGAGAAAATTATTTAGATATGATTAGTTAATTAATAAAATATTTTTATGTTCAGTTATGTTGTATGTGAAATTTGAATTATTTATTTATTTATTTTTTATGTCTGATTTTTTTGATATTTATAAATAATTTCTTAGAATAAAAAATTAAAGATGTTTAGCATCTTTGTGATAATAATTATAATTAATTAATTATTGCTTTGTTATTTCTGTATTGCCACCAAAAAAAATAACGAATCTTTTGTCTTGAACCTTTGAACGACATACTCGTTCCGCAAACTTTTAATATGAGATTTTTTTGTGAAACACCATTTCTTTGTCCTGCCAACACTGAATTAATAACGTTAAACAAAGCTGCTTCTTCTTCTTTAGTCCAAGTCAAACGAGGTCTTCTACTGGGTGATGATAATGATGAAGTGGTGGTAGTGGATTGGGATGATGGATATTGAGGAGATGATTTAAATTCGAAACTAGAAGAATTTATTTCACTTCTTTTCGGGAGAGAAGATGATATGGCGACGATGATATTTATATTTATTTTTTAATACATTTTCATTTTTTTAAAATTTTTCTTCTCTTTTTTAAAATAAAAATTCTGTTAAAAAATTTAAAAATAAGAAATAAAAGGAAAAACAGAAATAATACATAAACAATCGTTTGTAGAATGGAATTTAAAATGATCTAAGGTAAAAATTAGTATGATATATGCATTCACGTGGCATAAATATAATTTTCATGTAAAGGAAAGTAAAGATATGATTAAATATTTTATTTAAAAAAGCAAATTTTATTGTTAATTTTTATTTATTTTTAGTAAATAATAGTCGAAATCAAATTTCAAATTTTTAGAATTAACGCAAAAAAATCATGTAATAATTAAGTATCAAATCGCATAAACGAATATATCATTATTTGTCATACTTAATTGACATTCTAATAAGCAAGATAAAATCAAGATTGAATTAAAAAATACGTATTAATATGTAATTATTGATTTCTAAATAAAACTCGTTGGTGATCTCATGACTAACCATATACTTTTTATACTTTTTATAGTTCGGGGTATGAATAAATGGGGATAATTAAATTCATTTGTATTCATTAAAAAATTAGTAACGTGTGTAAGCATCACCTCCTTAGTAACTATTGATTAATTTTCGTCGTTATTATTTTTTTTTTACACAATAAAAAATGACTTTCAAATTTTTTGATAAATTATCCCGAAATTTTATTGAACTCCTTAATGACAAGGATGATTACAATGTAACCATCATAGTTAAAAATAAGAAATCCTTTACTGCGCACTCTAATGTTTTAAAATGTCGCTCACCTTACTTTAGTAAAGAATTGAAAAATATTATCTCAAATGAAAACAATATCAAGACGATTATTAAACCAAATATTTCGGATGAAATTTTTGATGTTATTCTCAAGTAAGTTATTATTATTATTCTTTGATAAAAATTATATTATTGATAACAATAATAAATTACATAAATTTTCTATTTCAAAGATATATTTATGGCGGAATTGTTGATTTAAAGAAATTAGAAACAAAGATGATTTTTGATTTAATGATTTCAGCCGATGAATTTGAAATCGAAGAATTAATGAAAAGTTAGAAAATCATCTTATTGAAACTAAAAGCTCTTGGCTAAAATCTCATTTTTCTTTAGTTTATCGTTCAATTTTTATTAGAAATAACTTTAAAGATTTAGAAAAATTTTGCAATGATATTGTTGCAAAGCATCCATCTCTCATTTTTGATGCAGAAGATTTCACTTTTCTTCAAGAATCTGCATTGGTATCTCTCCTCAAACGAGATGATTTACAACTAGAAGAGGTGATAATTTGGGAATATGTAATTAAGTGGGGAATTGTTCAGAATTCCACTTTACCTGTAGACCTTAAAGAATGGACCAATGAAAACTTTACAACTTTAAAAATCACTCTTCAACAATGCCTACCTCTAATTCGATATTTCCATATTTCTGGTACTGATTTTTTGAACAAAATAAAGCCTTATAAAAAAATTCTTGATAAACAACTTTGGGATGACTTAAAAAAATATTGATTGCTCCTAATCAAAGAGTGGAATCAATTATTTTACCACCAAGAACAATCTTGGTTCAAAAATTGCCTACGCGTACAACGGAACAAGCAAACCCATTTTCCACCATTATTACTTATAAACATGTAGCCGAAATTTCATCTTGGATTGATCGTAAATCAAGTACTTATTCTTTGGCAAATACTCCATATGAGTTTCAATTACTTTTAAGAGGAAGCATAAATGGATTTAAACCTCAAACTTTTTGGGATATCTGCCATGGTAATGCTAATACTGTAGCGATCATGAAAGTTGTTGGAACAAGAGAAATCCTTAGAGGTTATAATCCTTTGATTTGGGATGCTACTAGTTTTTTAGGTAGTTGGAGAAAGACTAATGATAGCTTTATTTTCTCATTGAAAAATGGGGACATACAAAATTCAATTATAAGCAGAGTAAAAATTCGTGATAATGCAATTCAGAATGTTGGCAAAATTTTTCAATCTGAAAGCGGTCTATATTTTGGAAATGATCTTTATATGTATAGTTCTAATCGTAATTTTACTTTAAATAATGAGTGCACATGTAAACATGTTCATTACGAAAAACCTATCAGAACAGCAACTAATAATTTCTCAATTGTTGATTATGAAGTATTCAAGGTTATTACAAAAACTAGTTAGAATTTCGATTGTTGATAATAATTAACGAAATTTTTATGTTTATTTTTTTTTAATATTTATATTTAAATTTTTTTTATAAATTTATAAATTTATTTTTTTTTATATTTATATTATAATTTTTTTTATGTATAATTAAATAAATTTAAAGTATTACTTGTTTTATTAATATTCCGAGCGCATTAGTATATTTTTCAAATAGACTTTATGTCTTTCTTTTTTAAAATTTTAAGTTATCATTGAGTCAATATAAATTATATATCAGATGTTTGTAACTTCTATGCAAATATCAGAATATATTATAAAGATAACTAAATCCGATATCAGATGTACCTGAATAGAATGTTAGCATTAACGTTTTAAATATGAAGAAAGTGTTGTTTGCATTCACACGCAAAGAAAATTTTTATTTATAAATAAATAATTTATTATTATCCCTCGCTTAATACCAATCTCTTTAAAAATAAATGTCCATTAAATGTTCATTGTCTTTATCCAGGAATCTGTACATTATATTTATTCATTGATTAATGGATTTGGATATCGTAAATTAAATATTAAATATAACAAAGAAGAAAGGAAAATATTAAAAAAAATTTTTATAAAATATAATGGACATCAGATCGGAGATCTGTAATAAGGTAAGTATAAAAAACAAAGTTGAAATGATAAAATGAAGTAATTCAATATCAAGATTTCTCTATTTATTTAAACTAGCACAAAAATATTTTTCAAATATCTAAACTATTATTTTTCCGTTAATCTTCTAAAGCTATAATGTATAAATTTTAATCTTTGAAGGACGAATCTAACAAATTTATTGTTATTTTTTATGATTTATGTAACCAGCCAAAAGTATTTTATAATATCATTAAATTTTATTTATTTTTTTTATTAGGTTCCCCTAACCATATCATATTTTTTTTTTATCAGCTTATTTCAATGTTTAAATATTTAAATGAATTTTATTGTTCAAATTAAATATCTTAAGCGTAACGCGCTCAACCTATCCCTCTTGTTATACTTATATTGATACATATATTTTATGTTTAAATTTAGTGTGAATATATCTCGACGATTCGTTCAATATTAAAACAATTAGATAATTATAAATTATCGAATAATAATTGGAAATTTACAGCATGATACAGTTTGACATTACGAAGGGATGAGCAAAGTAAATTTTGGATTATTTACAAGGCCTAAAGTTTCTTTCTTTCTTTAAAAGATCATCATCAAAAAAAAAATTATTTTTTTTTAAATCGCATCATTTAATTAAGAGTTAAAAATCACAAAAATAAATATAAATATAAATTTAAAATTTAAAGAATAAAATTTTGATTAAAATTTAATATAAATGATTTTTTTTTCTTTTATTCAGAATTTCATAAAACATAGATCATTTGTACAATTTTATTTTTTCTTAATTAACAAAAATGAACAATAAAAAATATTGTCATTACCTTTTTACTTACAAAAAAAATGTATTCATAAAATGGTATTAACTATGTAATAAAAAAACATACCAAAAAAAAGCACTCTAATATTGAATATATTAATAAATATTTTGGATTACCTATACATTGATTTTTAGATTTATAGCTAATACTTTTATTAAATAAAAAATTTTGATGGAATTTGGTATTATTTTGACTAATTGGATAGGAAATCCTAACCTCAGTGATTCTTAATAAAAATTTTAAGTGATTTTGTTAGAAATCAAAGGAATTTAAAATACAGGAAATTGTCATTTAATCTTGCTAATTATTTAAATGCTGCACATCTAGTTTTTATATATTAATTTTTTTATATAATCAATTCAAAAAAAAACATAGATATATATTTTTTTATTTAGTTTGTCAAATTTCAACTTAAAAAATTAAATAATTATCTTAAGTTATTATTTTCGTCCGACTATTAAAAGATTTATCCAATAATAAAAAATAATTCATTTGTTAGTATAATTATCAGATCCAAACGCAAAAAATATAAAAAACACCTATCTAATAATCCTTTTCTCTATATTTTCACAAAAAAAAAAAAGACAAAAAGTATTCAATATTTTGTATGCACACTTTCTTTTGTTATTCTTTAGAGACTTCATTGCACCTCAAGACATCTTTCTTTAACAGAAGTTTTTATTTTGTGGTTTTCGTCACTCTTAAGATTATTATACAATGATAGTTTCTCATATGTAGAAATATCAATTTCATTATTATTAAAGTAATTCGTTTTGATAAAATTTATTTTTTATTGGTTTGAATAAGAGATTAACACTCGTACCCTACAAATACTATACTACGCTAATATCAAGTTGGCAATGAATGCATTTTTGAAAAGAGAAAAGAATTTTGATATGAGAACTGATGATGTTTCGAGCTTATGGTCTGTATATTCACATAATTTAATTTAATTTATTATTATTCTAATTATAAATATATATATTAATACATCATGATAATAACAAGAGCGACGCGGTTAATAAAGATTTCGTCTATCAAATCTTGATCTAATCGAATTTTCTTCTAAAAATGTCGGTTAGAGAAATAATGATGATTCTGATGAAAACGTGAAAAGAAAAGAAATTCTAATATTCTTTTTTTCTAATTTTTATGCGCTTTCTTATTCTTATGCATTTATCATTTTACTTACTATAAATAAATAATCGTTAATTTTTATAATGAATTTTGATTTGGTTAGTATGCGAAAACAATGGACATATTATTGGATTGTTCATGTGATTGTCTGTATAACATGTACACGATTTTTTTTCGTTGAGCTACTTTTTCTTTCTTGTTCCTCTTCAGATATGACATTAAATTTTTA